TTGGACTTTCACAATATCATGTTCAAAATGTACAATGGGCTGCTACAGTACGGTGACTAGATTATTATGCTTCAAAGTTAACAATTGGCTGACCAGACAAGAATTACCAGATGAAAATTATAGTCTTATATAATTCTAAATTTGAAAATAAGTTCCACTTGTTATGTAAGCCAAAATTGTTAAAGTGTAATTAGGATGAATTTCCATGAGCATTTTCCTGTTCATTTGTAGTAACTTTGATGGAAGAACTAAGGACATCCTGGAAAAACAGCATAAGTATTTCTTTGATAGTAGGAACTGCAGATGCTGGAGAATCTGAGATAACAAGGTGTAGAGCTGGATGAACACAGCAGGCCAAGCAGCATCAGAGGAGCAGGAACGCTGACGTTTCGGGCCGAGACCCTTCTTCAGAAATTTCCTTGATTGTGGTTGAAAAGATCTGGAAACCTTTGAAAATAGAATAAAAACCAATCATGAATATGACAAAAGCAGTGAAGATTAATAATAAAAAGTTGACTTGTCTTAATTGAAAAAGAAAGCAAATACTAGGTAATCACGTGCCAAATGATGCTATGTAGGCTGTGAAGGTACTAGATGTGCCTTTTGCTTCAGTTTTTACCAAGTGGGAGTCAGGTAACTTAACTGATCTGAAAAGGAATTTGTGAATTATTAAAGAAGGATCTTAAAGTCATTCATATTACAACTAGCATGAAACATGACTGCAGGCCGTAGAAGGACTGTGAAAGCACTGTAATGTAGAATTTTTAACTCCTTTCTTTGTTTCTCTATTTTTGTACCTAATCTATTTTAGTACTGAAGATTTGTAACTAGTTACTTTGTACCTAAGATGGCACTGTGTGTGGTGACATTGTATACTTTCATTGTACTCCTTTACAGTTGTACTTGAGTATATGTGACAATACAACTTAATTCTAGTTCTAATGTACAGAAATCTCACAGTCCAGATAAGTTGCATTAGCGAAAGCATACGGAGCCAGAGGAGGAAATTACAGGAACTCGGATACTTTTGCTAGAAAATGTTGAACATTATAGATTGACCAGACACTGGAGCATGACAGCTTTTACTTCTATATTTATCAGAAAAGTGAACAAATTTATCCCTGGAAAACTGCAGATTGTTGCAGGTGTTTGCCCATTCTAGGTGAAATTATGGAAACCTTTTTTTAGGAATAAGATTAATTGCAGAAATAAAATCTTACAAGATACCCAATATAGGACTTGAAAAGTTTCGCTAGTCCAATTTACTTGTATTTCTTTGAGGGCGACACAAAGTAACATCATAAGAATATAACATTGGATGTGATATATTTGGATTTCATTAATGCCTGGCTTCAAGTCTACCCCATATAACCACTGACTCCCTTGTTAATGAAGAATCTATCTAACTTAGCCTTAAAAATATTCAATAGCCTACGTCAACTGCTTTCTAAGCAAGAGAATTCCATTTACCAGTGAACTTCTGAGAGAAAAGATTACTCCCCATGCTCAGCTTAAATGAAAATTCCTTACTTTTGAACTGTGCCCTCTAAATCTGGTATCTCCTGTAAGAGAAAACATCCTCTCAGCATCCATCTTGGCAAGTTGCCTGAAGATCTTCAATAAGTTCATCTCTCATTTTTCTAAACTCCAATGGATACAGGCCACATCTTCTAACCTTACCTCATCAGACAGACATTGTACTCATGTGAATCAATTGAGTGAACCTTCCTCGAACTGCTTCAAATACAATTGTGTTCTTACTTAAGTATGGAGACCAAAATCTCTGCACAGCATTTCAAATGTGGTCTTGCCAATGTCCTGTACAGCTATAGTAAAACTTCTCTATTTTTATAATGTATTTCTCTTTAAATAAATGGCAACATTCTACTTGCCTTCCGAATCACTTATTGTACCTGCATATCGACCTTTTGTGATTCATGTACCAGGACTCTGAGATAACGCTGTATCACAAAGTTCTGCAATCTTTTTCTATCTATAATGGATTCCCATTGTTTCTGCAAAAGTGAACAAGTTCATATTTTCTCACATTATACTCGTAGATTATGAAAAGCCTGTCTCTTGCTTTGCTGAAACCATTGGGGTAACCATGAGGAATTAAAAGGAAAATTCTTATAAGCAAAAACGCTAAGAATTGGCTGTTATATCTCTGTAGCAATAGACATTCCAGCCTGTCAAGTGCATAGCCCCATCAGTTCCTGCTGTCCTTGCGCATGGTTTAATCTGGCAAATCCCTGTAAATCCAGGAAACTAGGTCTGACGGTTAGTGCCAGAATCTATGATGAGAGGTGTAGCTAATTGGCTTTTTGCATATGTTAATAACAGATTCATCAATCCTATGGGGATATCCTTTCAGTCATATACTCACTCAAATGCGGAAGCTGATGGGTTCCTGCCAACTTCTCAACTTGCCTGCACTTTTTTGATGTTTTAATTTCCTGCAATCACAAACCTGGTCCCACACTGGCAACTAACACTTACCTATGTAAGAACTGATAGCATGGCAGTGATTTATTAAGCTTTACTGTATCTGTTATACCTAAGTATCATACTCTGTTTACAAGGCACAGGCTGCCATATGATTTCTTTTAAGCCTTGTCAACTAGCTCTACCTTCTTCAAAAATATGCATATGTGCACACCATTAGGTCTCTCTATTCGTGTCCTGTTGTCCAAATTAACATTGTGCCATTATTTCATATTAACTACCTCATTCTTTCCTCCAAAAAACGACTGATTTCCAAAGGTTTACGAATAACAACAGTGAGATATGGATCCAGACTTAATTAGAAAATGTTAATGTGTACATTGCAGGTTCTACCTTATGCCATGATAGTCTTTTGTCGGCATTCTGTCATTTTTTGCAAACTGTTCAGTAGCTTGAACTGGGATGATTTATCATTTATTCTCGTGCCTTAACACTAATTGAAGTAATTTTTCTTTAATTGATTGCCAAGGATTTATTGTAACCAGAGTTTCTGGCTGTTAGTCTTGGGGCTAAACGCAAGACTTGATTTTGCCATGATAATGTTGATGAATGGGCAAATTAATTAAATGGATGAAAAGACCACTGTAAATAGAATACCTCGGTATCTGACTGCCTTACTAACGTTCTCACTATTAGCCTGTCAGTTAAATTATTCCTAAACAAAAGGATTGGTAATATGATACTACTCACATGTGCATGAAACCAAAGATAACTACTGTTATTGTTTTACTATTACATTGCCTATTTATTGGTATTATGATACAGTAGTTACATTGCATCAAAGCTCAGCGAATTGGTTAACACTGGTTGCTTGTGCTTTTATGTGGTACCGAGGGAAATTAACCCCCAAAATGAATGGTTTAGGGCTGGTGAGAATTTAAAATTGTAAAATATCTGAATCCTAGCTCCAACTAACCACCATCACCCTCCATTTCTGGTTTGACGGGAGGCCATGAGCACCATCATTTTTAAAAGACAAAGCTGCGTGCCTATTTCCAACTCCAGATGCCCAAGTTTCCTGACCCTTGGAAAACCAGGGAATTGGAGAAAGTGCGGGAAGTTAGATCTAGGAATTTAAGTACCATTCTCTGCATTCACACAACCCCCATCGAAACTCTCACCCCATGGCCTTCAATATACAACCACCCACACTCCACTCAGGCCTCCAATTGGCAACCCCCAAGTCACTAGTTCTCACTGACCCCTCTAACTCCCTTTACTAACCTCTACAACTGGAGTGGAACACTTCTCCCTACCATAAAGAATTCCAGGATCCACTCCAACAACTGGGATGGAACCTTCCCCACCAGTTTGGACTCAGACTTAGTTAGTCCTTCAGCCTCTCCTCTAGTAGTTCTGGCCCTACTACACCAAACTAGACCAAGTTGGCTTCTTGGTGGTAAATATGTCAGTGAGGCCACACACATGCTGTCGATTTCCACAGTGTGCAAGTTAACCTCGACTTTCTGGTTTCCTTTTGGTTTCTCCTATGTGCTTCCAATAGGTTAAAAGGTTTTTCTAAAGTTCTTGATTAGATTTGTGCTCGGCTCATGGATGCTGTGGTTGGTTCACTTGCTGAGCTGGTTCGCTAGTTCACTGACATATTATTACCATGCTGGGTAACATCATCAGTGTAGCCTCCAATGAAGCACTGTTGTGTTTTCCTGTCTGGTATTTAAACTCTGGGGTCTGTTGGAATTGGTTACCTCATTTCTGGTTGTTTTTCGCAGTGGTGTGTACATAGGGTCTAATTCTACATGTTTATTGATGGCCTTCTTGGTGAAGAACCAAGCCTTTAGAAATTCCCATGCTTGTCTCTAGGATCTTGATGTTGTCCCAATCAAACTGGTGGTTCTTCTTATCTGAGAGAATGGAGACGAGTGAGTACTGGTCATGTCTTTTTGTTGCTAGTTGGTGTTCATGTATTCTTGTGACCAGTTTCCTTTCTGTCTGTTCAGTGTAATGTTTGTCGCAGTCTTTGCATAGGATCTTATATATTACGTTGGTTCTGTCCATAGTGGGTAAGGGGTCTTTGGTTCGAGTTAGCAGTTGGCATAGGGTTGATGTAGGTTTGTGTGCTACTCTGATGCCCAATGGTCGTAGGAGTCTTGTGGTCAGTTTGGATATGCTCATGATGTACGGTAACGTGACGAATGTGTCAGGGCATACTGTATCTTTCTGTTGTTGTTTGTGTGATAGGCACTGTCAGACCCAACTGTTTGGGTACCCGTTGTCCTTAAATACTTGGTAGAGGTACCACCACCTGGAACTATGCTAAAACGAAAAAAAATACCTCTGGAGTTTAAATACCTTGCGGGAAAACACAACAGCGCTTCATCGGAGGCTGCACTGATGATGTTACCCAGCAGGGTAATGAAACGTCTGCGAAACAGTGAACCAGCTCAGCGAGCAAACCAACCGCAGGTTTTTCTAAAAAAAACTCTTCCCACAGAGCTTCTTTTTATATACTCCATATGTTTCTCCTGTTCCTATAGATTACTTATCCAAAGTTTTGCGTCGTCATACAGAGCAAGCTTGTGATGGTGCCCACCTAAACCTATATTGCCCTCGAGATACAACAATAAGTATACAGTCAGCATTCTATGGACGTAAGGTGCCAAGTTCCCTCTTGTGCCCTGGTTTACAACCCAGAAGTAGAGCGGAAGAAAATCTAAACTGCACAGCACCAACCACTTTACAGGTACAGCAAGAATTTTATGTATTTTTTACTATTCTAACAATAAACATAAAATGACAGTAAGAGCAACAGTTGTGAAATTTTGTCCTTAGATTATGTTAATAATGGTCATCTTTTCCCAATTATACTTATCTTGGATCATGCAGTTTTAACATCTGCTATAACTATTAGAATAGCTGCATTTCAACTGAGTCAAGATTCATAAACCATCAAAAGTTTGTCAGGAAATTGCAAAGCTTTGTTGATTTTTTAAAATTAAACTTTTAGATTACCCTACAAATCTGGTATATATACAATGGTTTGGCCTAGGATTATCCTTTCTGATATGCAGTTTCAATTTTAGTCTTCAGTATATTTTATGATATCGTATTGGCAATTGCCAGTTTCTTTAGTCCGTGGTAATTATCTGAAATATTGTACCCTTTAATAAAAAATGAATGTATTCCAGTACTTAGAAGTGACTAAGATATTTTACTAGTCCGACAAGAGGACCTGAGCTAATAATGCAGCAACTGCAAATAAATTACAGAAACCAAAAGACGTATATCTTGTAAAGCTAGCTGTAAGCATCCAGTGTTAGGGCTTAATGGTGCAGTGGTGATGTCCCTACCTCTGAGCGAGGAGGCCTGGGTTTAAATCCCACCTGTTGCAGAGTTGTGTAATGATATCTCTGAACAGGTTAATTAGGAAAATATAAATGTCCAGTGTTTTATGAACCTATTTTTCTGCCCTTGATTGAGGAACTATCATGAAGTACATATATAAAACAAAGAACAGCCAGTGCTGGAATCTGAAACAAAAACAGAAATTCCTGTAGAAACTCAGCAGGTCTAGCAGCATCTGTGGAAAGAAAACAGAGAGAACACACATTCTGAAGAATGGTCACTTGCCCCAAAATGTTAACTCTGAGTTTCTCCAGCAAATTCTATTCATATATAGTTGATCCCGAAAGAAATGGACTTACAGCATAGATTCAGTGTGATATTCCAGGGATAATACATCACAATTCTGAAAACAAGCCTGAAAACTAATTTTGTTGAAAATGCAGTGGTTCATGGGTGACCTTATAGAGATCTTCAAACTATTTCGAGATATGGTAAGATACATGTTGAACAAAAGGTGCATTTCACCTCACAGAGTCTATATGAGGCTCTTACCTTATGTTAGTTGCAAATATTTTACCATCTCTCAAAGGATGAAAAAAATCTGGATCTATGGATGCAAGCCACAAAGGAATGGGTTCAGTTATGTACCATCTCAATTCTGCATAAAATGTCAGTTTCTGTATCTCTCTGATTCTCCTACGTAGATGTGCTTTTTTTACAATTCTTTCATGGGATGTAGGCAACATTTGACAAACCCATCATTTGTTATGCATCCCTAAATGCCCTTGAGAAGGTAAACCACCTTCTTGAATTACTGCAATGGGATAGATACACTCACAATATTGATGGGGAGAGAGTTCCAGGATTTTGGCTCAGTGATATAGTTCCAAGTTAAGATGTTGTGTGACTTGGTGAGGAACTTGAAGGCAGTGTACCAAGCATTTGGTGCCATTGTATTTCTAGGTTGTAGGTTTGGATGGTGCTATTAGAGAACCATTGGCAAGTTGCTAGGGTACATCACATGGTTGTATCCACTGCTGCCACTGTGTTTCTTGGTGAAGGGACCAAATGTTGAAGATAGCGAATGGGCTCTCAATCAAGTGAGCTGCATTGTCATGAGTGAATTAATATTCTTAATGTAGATGCTCACACAGAAATAAAGAGTTAGATTTCACAGCACAGTTTCAGGGTGGTACAGAAGCAAAAATTGCAAACAGACGTTCCCAATGAGCAGAAAATGTGCAATTCTTGTCTCTGTTTCTGTCGCTGTTTTCACCACATTGGGAAAGAGGCCAGTTTGGGAATTCCACATGCTGCTTCTTCAAAGCTGCCAGAATCATTCTGAAAGTGAGCATTTCAGAACTTAACATAATGTTCAGTGACACCGTCATATTTGATTTGATTTAGATTTGATTTATTATCATCACATGTACCTAAGTACAGAGAAAAGTTTTGTTCTGCTTGCAATACAGGCAGATTATAGCATACAAAGATCATAGGGTGATTGAACTGAGCAAGAAATACAAAGTTACAGCTGCAAAGAAGGTGCGCAAAAAGCAAAATCAATGTTAGATTTGAAATTTGACAGGTTCATTTATAAGTTAATAACAGCGGGGAAGAAGCTGTTCTTGAACCTGTTGGTACGTGTGTTTAAGTTTTTGCATCTTCTGCCTGATGGAAGAGGTTGGAAGAGATTATAACCGGGGTGGCAGGGGTCTTTGATGACGTTGGCTACTTTTCCGAGGCATCGAGAAGTACAGATGGAGTCCATGGCTGGAAGGTTGGCTTGCGCGATGGACTGGACTGTGTTCACAAGTTTCTGCAATTTCTTACAGTTCTGGGGAGAGCAGTTGCCATAACAAGACGTGATGCATCCGGATAAAATGATTTCCATGGTGCATCTATAAAAGGTGCTGGGAGTCCTTATGGACATACTGAATTTCCTTAGCCTCCTGAGGAAGAAGCAGCATTGTTGTGGCTTCTTGACTGTCACATCAAAGTGGGAGGTCCAGGACAGATTGTTGGTGATTGTTACTCCACCTCAGCTCCATTGATGTAGATAGGGGCGTGACCCCCTCCTTGCTTCCTGAAGTTGATGATCAGCTCTTTAGTTTTGCTGAGATTAAGGGAGAGATTATTATTTTTATGCCATGCCACCAAGCACTCTCCCTTTCCTGCATTCTGTCTCATTATTGTTTGATATCTGGCCCATAACGGTGATATCATCAGCAAACTAGCAGATGGAGTTTGGGTGAAATTTGGCCACACAGCCATGAGTGTACAAGGAGTACAGTAGGGGGCTGAGTACGCATCTTTGTGGGGCACTGGTGTTGAGGATTGTCGTGGAGGACGTGCTGTTGCTTTTCTGTGATTGTGGTCTGCGGATCAGGGAGTCAAGGATCCATATTTTGGAAACCTTCCTGTATCATATCTGCAGAGTAGATGAATTAACCCAAGATTGGAAATAGAAAGAATTTCACAAGTGAATAAAGGTCATGTTGCCTCTGCTGTAGTTTATCATGAAACTATGTTTATTAAAATGAGTGATGTTAGTGCTGTGATTAGAAAAGGTAAATGGCCATTAAATGATGTTTTTCGCTGGGTCACTGTTAGCGGACTGTTAGCTCAGTTTGCTGGATGGCTGGTTTTTAATGCAGCATGATACCAGCAGTGAGAATTCGATTGTACTAGCTGAAGTCACCATGAAGGTCCTGCCTTCTCAACCTTGCCCCTTGCCTGAGGTGTGGTGACTGTCAAGTTAAACTCACCACCAGTCATCTTTCTGTAATGCGAGAGTAGCCCTATGGGAGTAGAACAATCTCTGCCAACTGAAAAGCTGTAAAGTAGGAGAACAATACTGTAAAAGCAGAAGAGTCTTCAAATGCATTACAATACATTATCCACTGGATAAGGTATTATTCTGCAATGTAAAATATTAAAAGGCTAACCTAGTGTGACATCAATAGCAAACTGTTTAAACTATCCTATTGGCTATTATTAATTCTTTGCTGAACACCTGTGTGACTATTTCAAAACATTGACAGATATCTGAGCTTTCATTCAGTTTGTGCAGAATAGCTTAGCTATCTTCAATACTGTGTGGAGCTGGAGGAACACAGCAGGTCAGGCGGCATCAGAGGAGCAGGAGAGGTGACGTTTCAGGTCTAGACCCTTCATCAGAACTCTGTATCCTACGAAGAGGCTGGCATAGCTTGGACCCACATGGGTGCCCATAGCCACCCCTTTAGTTTGTAGGAAGTGCGAGGAGTTAAAGAAAAAGTTGTTGAGGGTAAGGATGAGTTCTGTTAAGCAGATGAGGGTATCAGTGGAGGGAGACTGGTTGGGCCTGCGGGAGAGGAAGAAGTGGAGGGCTTTTAGGCCATCTGCATGGGGATACAAGTGTACAGGGACGGGATGTACATGGTGAAGATGAGGTTTTGGGCCAGGGAATTGAAAGTCTTGGAGGAGGTGGAGGGTGTGGGTAGTGTCCCGAACATAGGTGGGGAGTTCCTGGACCGGGAGGAAAGGACAGAGTCAAGGTAAGCAAAGATGAGTTCAGTGGGGCAGGAGCAGGCCGAGACAATCGGTTGACCAGTCAAGTTTGTGGATTTTGGGAAGGAGATAGAACCGGGTGATGCGGGTTTGAGGAACAATGAGGTTGGAGGCTGTTGGTGGGAAGTCACCTGAGGTGATAAGGTTATGGATGGCCTGAGAGATGAAGTTTTTTTGATCAGGGATGTGATCATAATCGAGGGGGTGGTAGGAGGAGGTGTCAGAGAATTGGTGCCTGGCCTCCGTGATGTAAGCGTCAGTGCACCATACCACTGCTGGGCTCCCTTTATCTGTGGGTTTGATGGTGAGGTTAGGGTTGGAGCAGAGGGCTACACGTTCTGTGGGGGAGAGGTTGGAGTGAGTGTGAGAGGTGGAGAGGTTGAGGCAATCGATGTCACAATGGCAGTTGGAAATGAAACGGTCGAGGGAGGGTAGGAGGCCTTGGGGTGGTGTCCAGGTGGATGGGGTATGTTGGAAGCAGGAGAAGGGGTCTGTAGAGGGTGGTTTAGACTCGTGGTTAAAGAAATAGATGAGGAGGCGGAGGCGGCGGAAAAAGAGCTCAACGTCCAGATGTGAACGGAATTCATTGACGTGTGGGAGGAGGGGAATGAAGGTGAGTCCTTTGCTGAGGACTGACCATTCGTCCTCAGTGAGGGGGAGGTCTGGGGGGATGGTGAAGACCCAGTAGGGCTTGGAGCTGGGGTTGGGTGTAGAGTTGGAACTGGGCACAGGAGTTGAGACTATTTCGGGAGTAAGTCTGTGTATGGGGATGGTAACATAGGTGGAAGTGAATGTTGATGTTGTTGGCGTCAGTGGCGGCGGTGATGTGGCTGACGTCGGCAGAGGAAGTGATGTAGTCGGTGTCAGTGGGAGAGGCTGAGGAGACCAGCATGGTTAATGGTGCCTGGCAAATTAAGAGTGAACTCCTGGATAGAATTGGGGAGGTGGTAAGTACAAGCAAGTTTGGTGTACTTTCGGTCCTTCATGTCTGATAGGGTGGAGAAAAAGCATTGGTTGAGGGTGTGCATTGTGTGCAGAATGAAAGTAGACAATAGAGGTCTTTTGCAGGTTAGGGAAAGAGAGGTTCTGAGCTGGGTAGAGCTGACTGTGGTACAAGGAGATGCCAGTGCATGACTGTGAGCTGAGGATTTTTTTTCCCCCTTTATTCCATTTATGGGATGAGGGCGTCACTGACTGGGCAGCATTTATTGCCCATCCTTAATTGCCCAGAAAGCAGTTAAGAGTCAACCACATTGCTGTGGGTCTGGAGTTACATGTAGGCCAGACCAGGTAAGGATGGCAGTTTCCTTCCCTAAAGGACATTAGAGAACCAGAGGGTTTTCCCCAACAATCAACAATGTATTCACCGTCATCATTTGGTATGTCAAAATTTGCAGATGACACTAAGATGAGTGGTAGAGCAAAGTGTGCAGAAGACACTGAAAGTCTGTAGAGGGATATAGATAGTCTGAGTGAGTGGGCAAAGGTCTGGCAGATGGAGTACAATGTTGATAAGTGTGAGGTCATCCATTTTGGTAGGAATAACAGCAAAATGGACTATGTTTTAAATGGTAAAAAATTGCAGCATGCTGCTGTGCAGAGGGACTTGGGTGTCCTTGTGCATGAATTGCTGAAGGTGGGATTGCAGGTGCAGCAGGTAATTAAAAAGGCAAATGGAATTTTGTCTGCCATTGCTCGAGGGATGGAGTTTAAAAACAGGGAGGCTATGCTGCAGCTGTATAGGGTCCTGGTGAGGCCGCACCTGGAGTACTGTGTGCAGTTTTGGTCTCCTTACTTGAGAAGGGATATACTAGCATTGGAGGGGGTGCAGAGGAGATTCACTGCGTTGATTCCAGAGTTGAGAGGGTTGGATTATGAAGAGAGACTGAGTAGACTGGGATTATACTCATTGGAATTCAGAAGAATGAGGGGAGATCTTATAGAAACACATAAGATTATGAAGGGAATAGATAAGGTGGAGGCTGGGGGGTTGTTTCCGCTAGCAGGTGAAACTAGGACTAGAGGGCATCGCCTCAAAATAAAGGGAAGCAGATGTAGGACTGAGGTCAGGAGGAACTTCTTCACCCAAAGGTTTGTGAATCTGTGGAATTCCCTGCCCAGTGAAGCGGTTGAAGCTACCTCGCTGAATGTTTTTATGGCAAGGCTAGATAAATTTTTGAACAGTAAAGGAATTAAGGATTATGGTGAGTGGGCAGGTAAGTGGAGCTGAGTCTCAAAAAGATCAGCCATGATCTTATTAAATGGCGGGGCAGGCTCGAGAGGCCGGATGGCCTACTCCTGCTCCTAGTTCTTATGTTCTTATGTTCTTATGAGAAAATTCTGATTTCCAGATTCCTGCCTCTATGTTGAAAATCCATGTCATGAGGACATGTTTAAATACATTTTTAAAACAAAATTATGTGGCAGAGATTACTGGTCTTACCTTTCATAAGACATACCTTTTATGGTTTTTATTCTCATGCCAGAACTTGGGGAGGAATTCATCTGTAAAATGATGTAGAGGAGAAATTTATATACCACCAATCTCATGCTGCCAGGCATTGAGGTGAGCAGGAATTGGCAAGTAGAGAAAAAGTAATCTTGGACTAATAGTTGCCTGGGAGACCTCAGCGAGAAGCTAGTGACCACATTCCATTCCATTCAGTGTGACATCGCTGGGAAAATGTTAGTTTGTGTTTGGGAGAGAGACCGGATACTTAAATAGCTAAGGACAGTAAAGGCAGATTAGAGAAACAAGAGGGTGTACATTAGATATGAGCAGTGAATCCAGATTGGATTTGTTTTGGACTGATAATGGCTTATTCAAATAGAGACACCTAATGGATTCAGCCACTTGGAGGAAAAGAAATATTTGGGACAAATGAGGGATAGAGGCTGAGCAGGACCTTGCTCTGTGGGAGAATAATAAATATTAAAGTTCAACCAAAGAGGAAGTTAAAATCATGGCTGCATGATTCTAACATTTTCCCAGCTACATAACACCGAACGGAATGTAATGTGGCCACTAGATTCTCACTGAGGTCTCCTGGACAACAGCTATTATTAATTGTTATCATGTTTCTCTTTTCTTCAATGTAAGCAATAGTAATCACAGGCAAGGGACAACAATGTGAGTTCCTAATTTGAAATTAAGACCAGCCACAGATATTGTTCACTTGGAACCCAAGACTGTACCTCTAATTTTTTCTCCACCTATTTGCAGGCTGATTACAAGTCATGCGGCTAACATTCGCATCCTGTCATGGTGGTAACTAAGTATACCAGTTTAGGATATGAACCCTTAATGGTACATTATACAGCTTCATAGGGATCTAAATAATCCATAGCATCAGAATTTGCATGCAACAACTGACAAAATTACAGACATTTTGTCATCTTGCAGATTTATATCTGTTCTTAAAGTGACTTTTTGATTTATACCTGAACTTCTTTTGAATGGTTTGTACTTTTTACAAGAATTGTTAACATATTTGGTAAAAATGCTGGTGTCAACAAAAGTGATGCTTAACCGTCTTAATTATTGCCAAAATACAATCCCTAGAATATTGTATAGTGTTGACTGCAGGGTTCTAAGCATTTCAGTTCTTTGTTCAAAAGTTTTTTAAAAAGTTCTTAATGCATTTAGTTTTGAAAGCTATTTAGATCACATTTTCAATCTAATAGTATTTCATGGGCCTGTGCTTGCAGATAATTCTCTTTATTCCTGAACTATGTCTTCTTGCTTTCATTCTTGCCAGAAAATACTGGATGAATGCCAGGATCAGCAATCCTGCCAGCTTCTCGTCAATAGACGTGTTTTTGGACTTGACCCTTGTCCAGGCACTAGCAAATACCTCCTTGTGTCCTATAAATGCAAGCCAAGTAAGTACTACGTCCATACTTAATGAATGCATATTTTCTGGATCGAGCACTCTGTTTGAATTACAAAGGGTGGCTAACAAAAGTTGTATAATTAGATACAAATATTTGATATGATCTACCTAATAATGATAACTAAATCATATCTTATTCATAGCCAATTTGTAAAAACCCATCTAATTTGCCCCTTGAAGTCATTTCCTAATTCATATTTAACTATTATTTATAGCTGTGAGCCAATGGAAAAACATCTGCTTTAATCTGTTAATGTACTTCCATCTTCTTCCAATCAATGGAAGTCCCTAAGAAAGGACACTGGTCAGCAACTTGGCTTTAAAGTGTTGTAGTCTTTTGTCCCACTGTGTTTCCGTTTGAAATGCATGTCATAACCTGTTCTCGATGGGGAGGTGGAACGGTTTGGAATGTGACATTCTCCACACCAGCAGCATCCAAAAGCAGATGTAGAAAGAATGATTCAACTAGAAATAGTTAGGTTAGTCATCATCAGTTTTCCATTTCAGCATGGTAGTCTTCGAGTTCCTAAATGTGGCAAGCATAGCTGCCAGTTTTTAATGAGCATAGGCAAAATGAGATAAAGTGAAAACAATTTAACTTGAACGTTTTCATATTTTTTACGTCCAGTGAGTTTTTTTTGCTTTAGGTTGTGAATTATTAGTTCTGAAAAATGGAACATTTTGGTCAGCAGAAAAGTAGTCTGACATTAGATATTGCATCACTCCCTAGCCTACCCAACAAATTACACCAGTTTCAACTTCAGAAGTACACTACTTATTGTACTGATGTGACATTTTCTGGATTGTACCCCAGCTGTTTTATGATCTCTCTAAATAGGATTTCCAATTATTTGTGTATCTTGCTACTGATTCATGGCCATTAAGAGATGATTGGGTCTGCTTCAAATGTACAAAACACTCAAGACCTCTAAGATAGGTTAACCCCGTATCAGTGTAGGTTGGATTTGAGTCCAGGAAGTAAAGGTACATTTCAATGGCCAGAATTTTTAATCTAAAGCTTTCAGCAACCAGCAGCCCCTTAAATCACAAACATATGAATTAAGAGCAGAAGGGGGCCATTCAGCTCCTTGAGCCTGTTCTGCCAGGTTTGATTTCATCCAGGTTGATCTGATTTCAACCTCACTTCCCACTTAACCCGATTATTTTTCACTCTTTTGCTTATCAAACATCTGTCTACTTCTGCTGTAAAAATATTCAACTACTTCATTTCTAGTGCCTTTTGAGGAAAAAGTTTCAAAGACTCACGACACTGAGAGAAAAAAAAACTCCTTATCTTTGTATTAAAGGGGCAATCTCTTAAACACTAGTTTCAGATTCACCCACAAGAGGCAACATCCTTTTCATACCCACCCTGTTAAGAACAACCCCCTTTCGATCTTGTTTCACTGATATTGCCTCTTACTCTTCAAAACACAGTGCTCAATCTTTACTCATAAGACAATCCACCAATTCTAGTGATTAGTCTGGTAAAAGTTCTTCGAACTACTTCTAACACTTTTACATCTTTCTCTAAATAAGGAGACCAATACTGTACACTGTACACTAAATGTGGTCTCACCAATTCCTTGCAAACATGAAGCATTATCTCCCTGCTTTTGTTTTTAATTCCCCCTGGAATAAATGATAACATTCTTATTTGCTGTACCTGCAGACTAACCTTCTGCAATTTTTCTACTAGGATACCCAGATCTCTCTACATCTCAGAACTCTGCAATCTCTCACCATTTAGATAATGCACTTCTTTCTTATTATTTCAGCCAAAACGGTTAATTTCACATGTTCCTTCACTGTATTCCATTTGCCAGACTTTTGCCTAATCACAACCTATCTAATATCCCAGGTAACAAGGTGTAGAGCTGGATGAACACAGCAGGCCAAGCAACATCAGAGGAGCAGGAAGGCTGACATTTCAGGTCTGGACCTTCAAAGGGTCCAGACCCGAAACGTCAGCTTTCCTGCTCCTCTGATGCTGCTTGGCCTGCTGTGTTCATCCAGCTCTTCACCTTGTTATCTCAGATTCTCCAGCTTCAGCAGTTCCCACTATCTCTCTCTCTATCTTATATCCCTTTGTGTCCTCCTTATGTCCTCTTCACAACTTATTTTCTTGCTTATCTTTAAGTCATCTGCAAATTTAGCAACCATACCTTCAGTGCCTTCATCCAAGTAATTTAAGAACAATGTCATCCAAGTCGTTCAGAACAATGGCATTAATCGCTGTGGCACACCATTTGTTACCTGAGAAAGACCAGTTACGCTTACTCTGTGTTTCCTGTTAGCTAGTCTAACTTCTATCCATGCCAATTTGTTACCCCCTATACCATGAGCTTTTACTTTCTGCAATAACCTTTGATGTGGCATCTTATCAAGTGCCTTTGTAAAATTTAATCGTTGTTCATCCACCTCTTTATCCTCAACACGTTACTTCAAACTAATGGTGACAGTAGGATGATGGTAAAGAAGGCAAAGTTTATGAATAGAACATTTAGGACTAATTTCAGAATGTTCTTCACACAAAGATTAATCAATAAAGAGCGGTTACCTTTAGGTATGGAAGTAAAAACCGTGAAAGCATTTCAGAAGCTGTTGGAGGACATGATGTTGAAGAGGGACAGGAGTTTAAAAAATCAAAATTGATGACTTACACAGGATGTATAGCCCTTACATCCATTTTCACCTTGGCTACAAACATCATCCCAGAGCAGTCAATGGCCATTGCCAAGTTAAAGTTCCACTTTAAACTTTGTTATTGGATGGTGAAAGGAGAAGCTGCAAATTTTAGATGTGATTTGTGTAAAAAATGGAACTGAGAGTTCTATGCATTAAAGAAAATTACATTTTTTGCCTTCAGTCCGACATGTTGCAATTTATTTACAATGATTTAACTGTGCCTTTTCTTACAGATAAGTATAAAAGCAAAGTAGCCTGTGAGGGGAAAGAACTTAAACTTCGCTGTAAAAACTCTACATTGATCAACATCTATTCTGCAACATACGGCAGAATGATGAATGGAGATAAGGCTTGCCCTTCAAACCATAAGCTGCCTAATATAGGTATGTGGAGTATAAGAGTTGGGACGTCATATTGCAGCTATACAAGACATTGGTGAGGTCACTTTGAGAATATTGCACTCAATTCTGGTCTCCCTGCTTTAGGAAAGATGTTGTTAATCTTTTTCAGAGTTTCAAGTTTTACAAGGATGTTGCCAGGCTGGAGGGATTGATCTATAGGGAGAGGATGAATAGGCTGGACTTTTTTCTCTGGAGTGACAGAGGCTGAGGGGTGACCTTATAGAGGTTTATAAAATCGTGAAGAATATGGAAAGGGTGAATAGCCAAGGTCTCTTACCCAGGGTAGAGAAGTACAAAACTAAAGGGCACAGTTTAAGGTGAGATGGGAAAGATTTAAAAGGATCTGAGGGGCAACCTTTTCATGTAGGGGGTGGTGTGTGTATGGAACGAGCTGCCGGAGGAGGCAGTGGAGGCGGGTACAATTACAACATTTAAAAGGCATGTAGATAGGTGTATGAATAGGAAAGGTTTAGAGGGATATAGACCAAATGCTGGCAAATGGGACTAGATCAGTTCAGGATATTTGGTCGGTGTGAACAAGTTGGACCGAAGCATGTGTCTCCATGCTGTATAGTGCTATAACTCTATAGTATATGGAGTCCATCTATATTTAACATGGGCTGGTTCTTAATGGCTGCACTCTGTGAACACTATGGATAGACTTTATGAGAATACAAACATAAAACCTTGAAAATCCCACTTCGAAAACTGATGTATTAAATCAAAATTATTCATGAATTTCAACCGAAATCTAAAGTTTATGAGGGGACGATTTGTTTAGTTGAAAGATTTATGGAAATTGGTTTTATTACAAATGTAAATAATGGTGTTGTGGTGATCTTAATTAATAATCCATAGAAATCAGTTCAAATTCCAGCCAGACCAGCTTGGGAAATTGGGTTCAGTTTTTTAAAAAAGTTTGAAAATAAAAAGCTTGCATAAAATGAAACGTGACCATGAAGTTATCAAAACATAGTCTAAAAATGCTAAAAATTGATTCGCTATTGTCCTGTATGGATGGAAACCTGCCATCCTTATCTGGTCTAGTCTGCATGTTACTCCAGTTTCACCAAAGTGGTTGATGCTCAAACCATCCATTAGCACTACTTGGCAATAAATCCTGGCCTTACCACTGATGCTCACATCCCGATAATGAAACCTATGTAAGAAAACTCAATTGTGTGATATGGATTTGTTACAATGAGACAATGAGACACAATCCTAGCTATGTTAACAAGATGGCAGTGACATCTCTGAGTCTAACTCTTTGGTTCCTATTATTTTAAAGGATTGAATCTATCAAGTCACGATCCAAAATACCAAAATGTGGAGGTGCTGGTGTTGGACTGGGGTGAGCAAGATCAAAAATTCACACAACACCAGGTTATAGTCCAACAGGTTTATTTGAAGACACACGTTTCCTTCTAAAGGAGCGAGACTGTGAAAGCTTGTGTCTTCAAATAAACCTGCAAGCTTTCACAG